CATCTACTCGCTACGTTTGGACAGCAAACCTTCCTGCTCGTTATCTCGCCCATTCCGTCTTCGTCGCATGGCTCGTTGTCGCTGAACGAGAGTCTGGCGTGAAACTGCAAGAATTCCATAGTGATGGCGCAGGAAAGTACACGAGCAACACCTTCACAGACTACCTCCAAACCCTCGGCATCAAACGGAAGCAGTCACTGCCACATGCACACCAACAGATGGGGGTAGCGGAAAGGATGAATCGAAATTTGCAGGAGAAGATGCGTGCTCTGCTGACGCAGGCAGCCCTTCCTCCTCGCTTTTGGCCGTATGCGATGGACCACGCAGTGCTGTTACACAACCTGCTTTCTTCCACGTCACTGCCCGAGTTTTCTTCTCCGCACCTGCAGTGGACACGAACAGTGGGAAGTACCAAACTTTTATGAGTTTTTGGGTGTGTTGTGTAGTTTCGTCCACCAACTGGAGCACTCGACAAATTTTCAGAACAGGCAAAATGGGGGATACACCTCGGCATCCAAAAACAGTATCACGCATGGAAGATTTTGGATCTTCGCTCCAACCAAATCGTCCCTTCACGTGATTGTCTTTTCTATGAAAGACTCACCTTGCCAGTTTTTCGTGCCCACCAGGCAGCAGCTGCCAACCATGCCAGGCTGTTTGAAGGCTCGCGAGCTTTTGCAACTGGCGAAGCCAAAGCTGATGTACAGGACGAAGCAGTTTCTGAAGCCTCCGAAGCTGCCGCAACGGATATTCCCGAACCTGTCACGTCGACTGGCATCCCGGAATTTATTCCCCTCGCAGGAGCTGACCCGGATACGTTCGCGAAGTCCACCTCAGTTACGAACGCGATCGTCAACAGCAGCCGATGCCCGCCGTCTCCGACGAAGAAGTTCGTGTTACACCTGATGAAATTGGGGGGGAAGAAGGAGTAGAAGAAAATTTCGCAGGTGCAAACGAAGAACGTCCGCGTATTACAGAAACCGGCTTACAGATACTTGGAATCGTAGTAGCAGTACAGTACAACGACAGTAAAGTACCTGAACCGAAAACTGTTCGACAAGCTCTTACGAGTCCTCACCGTGAAAAATGGCGCGAAGCCATGGACAGGGAGCTAGCAGCTCTCAAGAGTCGCGGCACATGGGAGTTAATACCGACATCAGAAGTGAAAGCAAGAAAGGTACTTACCGGAAAATGGGTCTTCCGTGTCAAGACTAATGCAAATGGGTCGTTTGAGAAATTCAAGGCAGCCATGGGTCGTCCGTGGGTTCGAGCAGACTTACGGCATCGACTACGAGCTGACCTTTGCTCCCGTCGGTCGACATACGAGTGTTCGAATTCTGCTCTGTGTCGCCGCATGTCGCAATCTATGAGTTCGACAAATCGACGTGGCAAACGCATTCCTCTACGCACCCGTCGAAGCACTCATCCTGGTAGAGTACCCGCATTCATATACTACTAACCCACCGAGCGTATGCCGTCTCAGAAAGTCGCTTTACGGCATTACACAGGCACGCCGGCTCTGGCAGCAGTATCTTCACTCACAGCTTATCACTACTGGATTTCGACAAGTGCCGCACGATCAGGGGATGTATCTTCTAACTGACGGCAGCAACTATATTTTACTCGTCGCCTACGTCGACGACATTCTCTACGTCAGTACTACCGATTCGCTTGCCGATACCTTCATACTGAAACTACAGAAAAATCTACAGTTTACCATCTCCGAAACAATTTTACAGTTTCTTGGTTTAAACATTACCTCCTCACCGACATCTATTCACCTCACCGCGTCGAAGTACGCAGCGACACTCGTTGCCCGCTTCAATCTTACTCCTACTGCAGTCTCTACACCATACCGTTCCTTACCGACAGATCATAAACCGAATACTACACCGTTGACTCTAACCGATTTACAAATTTATCAGCAGCAGTTAGGCTGTTTACTCTTCGCTGCCGTTATTTGCCGTCCAGATCTAGCCTACGCTGCTAGTCAACTTGCTCTGTTTCTACGCCGTCCTGAAGAGGAGCACCAACTCGATCTTCTCCGCGCGCTTCAGTATTTCGTCTCGACTCCTGACGTCGGTTTAGTCTACAACGTCGTCGGCTGTAAAACACTATACCTACACGGTTTCGTCGACGCCGATCACGCTGCTGAATCTACCAATCGACGATTACGCACTGAATTTATCTACCGTCTTGAACCTATCGGGCTTATTTCTTGGAATTCGACGAAGCAGGAGCTGATTGCTCTCTCCTCTGTTGAAGCTGAATGTATCGCTGTCTGCACAGCAACACGCGAAGGACTTTACCCACAGGAACTATTGGAAGAAGCGAAGTTGACGACAAGTACACAGTTTACACTGCAGTGCGACAACCAAAGTGCAATTCACATCGCGCACCAGCCTGGCTTCGTCAACAGGACGAAACATACTTCACTGCGTTGTTTTTTTGTCAAGGATGAAGACAAGAAGGGGAGGATGCGATTGGTCTATTGTTCGACCAACGAAATGGCTGCCGACTTTCTCACGAAGAAGCTGACACGACAGAAGTTTCAGACCTGTAACAAGCTTTGCGGGATCTTCAAGAAGTGACACCATTGGACTTCCAAAAATGAAGGGGAGTGTTGTGGTATAATTCATACTTAGCATTTATGTAAGTCGATTATCGGTAGTTAGTGTCGAATTCTACTGTTGAAAAGAAGCCTGTAGGATGACGTCAGCAAATAGCGCTCGTCAAGAGGACTGTCGTTTAAGTTACGCGAACAGTTGCATCTCTTCATTATCATCTAGGGCGCAGGTACTTTCCTAGAGTTATAAATCCTTGTTGTGTCTTTTTATTGTTAACCTTGAGATTTCAATTTTGAGAACTTTCAGACATGACTTCTACAGAACTATATAGGGAAAGTACATCGGCGCTCAGTATTAGGGGCCTCGATAATATGTACGGTCAGTGACGCAATATAAACAATCAGAATTAGCGAGTTCGCAACATGTTTCATCAGTCGGGTTCCACGGTTAGTCAGAAACAGTAGGACAAAGGTTCCACGAATGGTCAGTAGAAGTAACCCCCGCCCATGTAGGAACGTTTTCCCGCTCGCGCCAGCCCAATTTTGGTCATCATTGTGGAAGGCGCGAAATTTCTCCCCAGGTCCAGGCGCAGTTCGAGAGAAGTACGAAAAATATTCCCAGAATAAACATTCTTTGAACGTCGCGCACACAAAATTCCAAAATTGAGAACTTGCACATTTCTGCCATATAAGCTACTGGGGCCACAGTGGGCCGCACATCGGGTGCGACATTGTTCAAACATTAACAAACGCGCATACAACAAAAAAATATTTGACACACAAGGGCAAATCTATCAAGGATCCGTGCTAAGCCTGTAAGGCATCAATATTCTACTGTGCCGCGCATGCGATAATATTTTTCTAGCATGACGTGACTTGTAGAGTCGTGAATTAGCGGGAATGTTTTTGCAGTAAATTCATTTGTGATAAATTTTATAACCACAGCTGGCAGAAATCTAAGTAAATACAAAATTTTGTGCGGTTATGAGTGTACTTTGCTGCACTTTTAAACATATTCATTTCCCAAAATAAATTTCCATAGTTTTCTTTATATGTTTTTCTTTCAAGCGATTCGGGAATGACGATAAGTTTAAGGCTTGACTTTTTTGGGGGGGCGTAAATGCGGTAGAGACAAAACCGCCATTCTTAAGCTTCACGGAACGCACTACACTCTACCATGAAAGTATGTGTTTTGAAACAAAATCGTATTTTCTTGTTTCTCGAATAACTTGTGTCCAATAAAATTAAATTTGGGTATATTACGTTTTTTCGCTCGAACTGGGCCTGGAGCTGGGGAGAAATTTCGCGCCTGCCACAATGATGACGAAATTGGGCTGGCGCGAGCGGGAAAACGTTCCTACACGGCGGGGGTTACTTCTACTGACCATTCGTGGAACTTTTTTCCTACAGTTTCTGACCAGTGCCTCAGAAGTCAGGCCAAAAAGGCCTGAAAGCTTATATATCAGGGTGTTTTTTAGGGCATACCCTGATTTTTCTGGTTTTGATTTTTGTCAAACCTGAAATTTATGTGTTCCCATTTCTAAGGCCTGAAAAATAGTATGTTCTTGTTTTACCGAGCCTGACGAATCAGCCTTACTCGAAATTCGCCCTGAATCTAAATCTTATCTGCCTAGGCGAGCTAGAGCACGTGTGAGGGGCATAACCGGTCCTTGACCAGAATCATGTAAGTTCGAGGCGAGGTGGGGCAGGTGTGAGGGGTGTGATTGGTCCTTGACAAAAAATGACGCGAGTTCGAGGCTAGCTAGAGCAGGTGTGAGGGGCGTGATTGGTCCTTGGCCACAATCACGGAACTTCAAGGTGAGCTCGAACAGGTGTGGGGGGCGTGATTGGTCCTTGACCAGAATCACGAATGTTCGAGGCGAGCCGGAGGAGGTGTGAGGGGGTTGATTGGTCCTATCATGCAGGAATCTGACGAGAAGAATTGTACGCAGTGAAGTCCGATCCGACCTAAGAATCAGAAACTACAAAAATGTAGGCCTAATAAGTCAGCCTAAAAAAAACAATTGGCCTGAAAAAACATGCCACGCCCAAAACCCGACCCTGAAAAACATGGGCTCTCACATGGGCGACCCTGAGCAATCTGCCTCCCTAAAACCAATCTGAGGGCCTATTTCTGACTAACCGTTGAACCCGACTGATGAAACATGTTGCGAACTCGCTAATTCTGATTGTTTATATTGCGTCACTGACCGTACATATTATCGAGGCCCCTAATACTGAGCGCGGATGTACTTTCCCAACTATATACTCAGGTTCACCTTTATAAGACTTCCGCTGTCTTACTAGTCTACCATTCCAGTAAAGATCGTAGGCTAACACTTGAGGTTTTCCAAGTGTTTGTGTTTGCAGATTCTACACGTAGTCTCTTGCAACACATGTCATATTATTACAACGAGAACCCTGTATCAAACAGTGAAATTGATAATTGAGAGGAAGAGAGTACACAAACATATACCTAACAGTTGTACTCTCTAGAAGATGACCCTATACAGTCTATACAAGCATGATAACTAAACATGTTTGACACACCCCCTGGACTGCATAGGGGAATGTTCTAGACAAGCAGCTCAGGGTGGCACTACTAGTCCAGCCTCTGAGACAAGGGTCTAAAAGACCAGTCAGAAGGAGTACAGGCAAGGCAAGAACTAGTACAGGGCGGCACTACTAGTCCAACCACTGTAAGAGGACACAAGTCCAGTCTGAGTGTACACACAGATATATATAGGACAGTACAAAGTCAAGGCCCGAGTAAGTGAGAGACTACAGGAACCAGACCAAGCTGTACACAGTGCCGCTGATGATCTTTAGGCGCAAGCGCCTTCGTAAAGATATCAGCTGTGTTGGCACCGGAGGCTAAGTGTACTACGCGAGCCTGGCGACGCTGCTGTAGCTCACGCAGGAGGAAGTACCGCAGCTGGATGTGCTTCGCTCTGCCCTCGAGTCGAGGCTCCTGACACAGGAGGATCATGGCCCTGTTGTCAGCGTACAGGACCGGGGCAGAGCTAGGCCGCTCACCTAAGTCAGTGAGCAAGAAGGTCAGCCAGCGGAGCTCCTGTGCCGCCATGGCACCGGCGTAGATCTCGGCCTCACAGCTGGACTGGGCAACAGACGAAGAGCGGGTAGCTCTCCACGAGACAGCACCTGAGCCAAGGCTAAAGCAGTAGCCCTGGGAAGACCTGAGCGTCTCCGCGTCGTCTGCCCAAGAAGCGTCTGTGTGTCCAGTAAGGACCACTGGCCTGCGTCCGCCTAGCACTAACCCCATGCCCGATGTACTTGCAAGATAACGCAAAACCCTCTTAGCAGCAGACCAGTGCTGAGGTCGGTGTCTGCCTGTGGCCACGAAGCGAGCCAGGATGCTGAGAGGGTATGCGAGATCTGGGCGAGTGCAAGTCATAAGGTACATGAGGCAACCCACTAGCTCAGCGTAAGGACCACTGGGATCTACCGACTCCTCAGGAACTGGAGCGGAGAGTCTGTGGTCCAGAGGAAGAGGGGTGGGCTGTGCGGAGGAGAACTGAAGGCCGAACCTCTGAAGGACCTGGCGCACCAAGTGTGACTGAGTCAGGGTGATGGTGCGCGCGGCTCTGTCCCTGGAGATCTGCAAGCCAAGGTAACGGCGCAGCTCTCCAAGGTCAGTGCAGGTGTGTCTCTTCAGCAGCTCTGCCTTCACGGAGGCCAGTGCGTCCCTGTCAGCAGTGGCAAAGACCAGGTCGTCTACGTAGACAAGGATGTAGAACGGAGTCGAGCCAGCACGAACGAAGAGCGAGGGGTCTGCAGAGGACGGAAAGAACTGCAGGTCAGCAAGGGTAGCACGCAAAGTGTCGTGCCACTCACGAGGCGCCTGGCGCAGGCCGTAGACTGGCCGCCGCAGAAGCCACTGGGTCCCAGGGGGGAAGGTGCCAGTAAAGCCCTGAGGGCGACGCAGGTAGACCTGCTCGTGAAGGCTGCCCTGAAGAAAGGCAGTGGAGAAGTCGAGGGAGTGAAGCTCGTAGTCACGCTGAGCCGCTACGTGTAGCAGAACCCGAAGAGTAGTCATCTTCGGGGTAGGAGCGAAAGTCTGAAAGAAGTCCACCCCCTCGCGCTGACTGAAGCCTCTAGCCACGTAGCGCGCCTTGAACACAGGCGGCTCTCCAGGAGGGCGCTTCACCTTGAAGAGCCAGCGGCCATCGACCACGTTCACCCCAGGTGGGGGAACTGCGTCGACGAAGGTGCCGGTGGATCTCCAAGATGCCATCTCCTGCTCCATGGCAGCTATCCACTGAGAGGCCCAGGGTCCCGAAACCGCCTCAGCGTAAGTACGAGGGGTCGGGATGTCGAAAGCGTCTGGGTCACCCTCAGGGACTAGCAGCATGGAACAGAGATGGGGAGCAGCCTCGGACAGGAAAGCAAGCTCAAACTGGCGGTCCTCTAGGACGTCACTGCCGAGGGCAGGAGCACCCCCGACAGACGGAGGACAGGCAGGGTCAGAGACCAGAGCGGTGGCGTAGTCAAGGCGGCGGGTAGAGGCGAAGTCAGCGACCGCAGCGACGAGGGCGTCAAGACTCGACACTGGAACAGACGGGTCGGTAACAAGAGAGGCAAGGACCCGAGGAACAAGAGGACGAGCGGCACGAAAGTAGTCGGACAGAGGAGGAGACGCAACGACAAGAGAAGACGGAGGAGGAGACGGGAGGAGGGGAGGACGAGACGGGTGGGAACGGAGCAACATAGGGTGAGAGCGCGGGACAGGGGAGACAGGACGAGCACGAGCGGGGCGGCGAGACCAGACGTGGGAGGGCGGCGTCGGGTCAGGAGACAGAGGAGGGGACACAGGAGGGGAACGAGGGGGAAGACGAGCCGGGGACGAGTCTGGCAGAGGGAACACGGGGCCGTAGACGGGAAGAGGGGGAGACGGCAGGAGAGGAACAGGCGCAGTGTCAGGAGACGGGAGGCCGAGCAGACGGAGGGCGGTCACAGGCGGGGACTGCTGCTGCGGCGACACAACACCAACACCAGGGCCACAAGCGGCGCGACGGCTACCTCCCGAACCCTCCAAACCTGCACCCCCAGAAGGGACACCCCCAGAGTCCACAAACGGCGGCAGGGACGACAGCGGCGGCGGCGGCGGCGGCTGCAGCGACGGCTGCAACGGCGGCGGCGGTGGAGACGACGGCTGCAGCAGGTGCGGCGACGGCGGCTGCGGAGGCGGGGGAGGAGGAGACACCGGGGGAGGGACAGACGGCGAGGACTGCGCCGGAGGACTACCAGAGTCAGAAGACTCGTCGACCGGGACGACCGACGGGAGGGGGGTGACGTGAGACACACCAGAGGGGGCCGGACGGGGGGGCGGGGGGGGGGGGGAGGGGCAGGGACCACCGGGGAAGGAGGGACCAGGAACAGGGGGGGAGTAACCGGGGGACCACGGTGAGGGAAGCGGCGGTAGAAGGAGACGGACTCGTCAAAGGTGACGTCGCGAGAGTGAAAGAAGCGGTGGGACGGCGGGTGGTAGAAGTGCCAGTCGGACGCGTCAAGGGGGAAACCGAGGAAGACGCAGGGGAGGGTGCGGGCAGTGAGCTTGTCCGTGCCAGAGGCACGGACGTGGGCAAGGCAGCCCCAGACGTGGAACGCAGACGCGTCACCAGGGGACCCGGTCCACAGAAGGGTCGGCGAAACCTGCGGCCGCTGGGGGTGCGGCCACAGGTTAAGCTGGTGAGCGGCGTAGCGCACGGCGAACGGCCACAGAAAATGGGGTGCACCGGCGTGGATCATGGAGGTGCGAGCCACCTCCATGACCAAACCGATGCGTCGCTCAGCGACCCCATTCTGCTGCGGGGAGTCCGGCAGGGTAAACGTCTGGGTGATGCCCTCCGCACGACAGAAGCGACCAAGGACACCTGAGGCAAACTCGCCACCCCGGTCGGAGTGGAGGCGCAAGGCAGGGAGACCGCGGTGGACACGAGCAGAGACAAGCCAGGGGATGAGAACGTCAGGCACGTCGGCCTTCCGCTCCAGGGGGAAGACGGTGGTGTAGCGCGTGAAGTCGTCGACAAGCACTAGGAAGAAGCGCTCGCGACGCGGCCCATGGACCGGGGCTGGGCCCCAGACGTCCATGTGCAGAGTCTGCAGTGGTGCGGTGGTAGGGGGAAAAGAGGAGGAGTGAGGGGCACGGCGGAGCCGGCCCTCGACACAAGGCGTGCACGGGGGGGCGGGGGAGGAGGGAAACTCGGGGAACGAACCGGGGAGACCAAGGACGAGACCGTGCTGGGACATGTGACGCAGACGTGGGAGTGCAGGGTGACCAAGGCGGTGGTGCCAAAGGAGAGTCGGGTGAGTGAGGGACCGACAGGAGCACGCGGCAGCAACCTGGGTGGACGCAGCTACCGGGGGGGAAGACCCAGCCGGGGACGTCGCGGTGTCAAGTGTGAACAGGCCGGACACCGGGTCCCGGGGGAAAGTGGTAAGGGGGGCACCAGTGGCGGCCTCGGTACAGACAGCATACCGCTCGTGACCAGGGAACGTAGTGGTGACGCCAAGGTCCTGGAGGCAGCCGACACCAACTAGGTTCCTGGAGAACGAGGGGATATGCAGACCGGTGAGCGAACCTGAAGGAACCGCCGGACAGGGAAGGGAGGTGGAACTGCGGGCAACGACGGGACCACCGGAGGGGTCAGCAAGAGTAACGGCAGCGGGAACAGGCAGCGGCGTCAGCGTCGTGGAGTCGCGAAAGAAACACCGGGAGGCGCCAGAGTCCAAGGTGAAGGAAAGCGCAGCAGTCGCGGGAGGCGGCAGTGAAGCGGTGGAAGCACCAAGGCTAAGCAAAGCAGGAGATCCTACGCCTGACGCAGCAGGGGAGTCTACGCTAGGCACCGCTACACTAGGCAACACGGGGTAATAAGAGGGAAGCACACTAGAGTCATCAGCATACATCACATGCAAGGCTGCTACAATGGCATCCATGTCCAAGTCAAAAATCCTAATGCGACGCCTAAGCAAGCTGTGCCAGTCCGGGAGGTCGGGCGCCGGGCCAAAGCGCTGGCGGAACAGGTCGTCCAGACGACGAAAACAGCGAGGAGTAGAATGACCGATCTTACCGCAAACGAAGCCGCGGCGAGGACCGGTCTGGATCTGGTACTGACAGGGCCCGCCTCCAGAACCACCACCCGGTGCACTACCACGCGCACGACCACCACCAGCTCCAGGCCACCCAGGCGGGAGAGCACTCGCCGGCCTCGTCTGCGGCGGCTGCTGCGGCTGCTGCGGCTGCGGCGACTGCTGCTGCTGCAACGGTGGAGGCAGCGGGGCAGCTGGACCGGGCAGGGTCCCCACGTCCGCACCGGCACCGGACGACCCGCCTCCACCACTACCCCCACTCGCACCCCCGCCGCCTCCGCCGCTCCGAACCTTGGGGCGGCGGCCCTTCGCCGAGCGGGACTGCACTGCAGCAGCAGTCTCAGCCACAGCGACAGAGCCGTCGGAGAAGGTACACTGAGCGGGGGCACAACCCTGAAAGATAGGGACCGGTACTGTACCGCTCGCC